TTCCCCCCCCCCCCCCACTTTGACCTGATGGCTGCGCCATGTGAAAAGACGGTTTCGATAAGTAAATTAATCCGTTAAGTTTAATAACCGTAATGTAGAAAGTTAGTCGGAGACAATGAAAGAGCAGTCATCCGAAGGTGACTGACAACTTCGAAGGACAAATACCAGTAAGCGCCAAACAGATAGGTTAACTAGATTGCAACAACTTAGAATGAAACTGAAATCAAACTGTGAACTAATTTAATCACTATGACATTCCCCTTCTTGCGAGAGAATGAAAAACTTAACTTTAGATACTCAATGAAATGTAATACTGTAATGGATGAAAATTAACAAAAAGTTTTAGCGAAGGTTTTGGTTTATTGGACTAAGCGAGGTTAAACTAAACAATTGAGTTTTCGCCGCTTACGGCATGCCCTCTCCCTGGACTTTGGAATGGTTTGTTTTTGAATGTTGTTCCATACTTTTTCCTCCTCTATTTGATCCTCGTTTGTCTACTTGTTGGATGTTGTCGATCATGACTGCCCCCATTTTGGTCACGGCTGTACGTTTCCTTCCCGAATGTCTCGAAGTGGTCTCGTCTTGCGAACTTGCCGATTCCTGACTGGAATACGAAACAAGCCGTTGCTTCCTCACTCGCTTTCTGGTACCGGCCTGTGGAATCTCCGGTAGTTCTTGCTGTCCAGCGTTCGTTTCAATTTCTGCCTCTGGTGCACGAGTGTATTCAGTCGCCATTTCGTAGTTACTTGGCAAGATTGTCGTCGTCTCCATTTGTTGTCCCCCACTTGATGCTGCTTGCCCCCTTGTCCGTTACTCCCATGTGGCTCGGTCACGTTTATTGTCTTTGATGTCTCTTTTTGGCTTACTATCCGTGTCGCCGCCAATGGTACATCGTCGTCCTCGTCTGATCCGGAAGTATCCGCGTTCTCCGTGATTCGACGTTTCGCTTTTCCTGCGGTGTCTTTGTAGGTGCCTGTGGTGCCTTTTCAGCTGGAAGGTTTGTTGACTGCTAGCATTTTCCATTTCAGGTCTCTTATCACTCAATTTCCAAATTTATTACTATATCATATACCTAACAGCTATGACGTATATAGAAATTAGCAAGCTTATTCCCTGAACTACAAAAAAATTCAATTATTAATTGTTACTAAACAACTACAATTATGGAAATTTGCACCATTGTGGAAGCCACCATTGTCATTCCATAGCCGAAGAACACTTTCCCGCAGCAGAGTTATCATTCATCTCGTCCATAAACCTAAATATGAACCGATCACCTTTTTCGATCACATTTTACCGCTTTAACCAAATGCATGCTAATGACTCTTATAACAATCAAGAAACTGACTATCAGCTAACTGAGAAAAATTTCATCATAGCAGTTACATATTTCATATCCCACTGTCTCAGTGTTACGACTCAGTTATTGTTCCGATTTTCGATACGAAAGTAACGGAATATTTGTGCTCGGGGTGGGTTTTTTTTTCTTCAGACAAATTTCGACTTTTTAACTAGCCATTTTTGACGGAGTTTTTTATATCATTCAAAAGCTATTGTTATCTTGAGCTTAAATTTGAAAAAATATTTCACCTGTGATCATTTATCATAAAGTTAGGGGGGTTTAAAGATTGCCATTTTGGCCAATTTGGACAATTTAACGCGCGATATATTTCGCGCTATTAACGCGTAAGCGGAGAGTTAATCCGTATAAGAAATCGTTCCAAATTGGTTAAAAGAAGCTTATGTGCCATAATTGGTTTGTTACAAGGAGAGAAATCTATCCTTTTGTACTTTGTATGGCGTGTGGGGTGATGATTTTCATAAAAAATTTTAGAAAATTATTTTTTTGATTTTGTTTTAATTCATTGAATTTTTAAATGTTATTACTGCTCCATAAACCTTTAAAGGCAGTCGGAACAATGAGGGCCTCGCCCTATTACGAGCACTCTTGTTGTTCTGACATTCGATAAGAAAGTAACGGAATATTTGTGCTCGGGGTGGGTTTTTTTTTCTTCAGACAAACTTCGATTTTTTAACTAGCCATTTTTGACGGAATCTTTTTTATATCATTCAAGGTATTGTTATCCTGAGCTTAAATTTGAAAAGATATTTCACCTGTGATCATTTTTCGTAAAGTTATGAGGGTTTAAGGATTGCCATTTTGGCCATTTTGACCAATTTGGGACAATTAACGCGCGATATATTTCGCGCTATTGACGCGTTAGCGGAGATTTAATCCGTCTTATAAATCGCTCCAAATTGGTTGAACGAAGCTTATGTGGCTTAATTGATTTGTTAAAAGAAACGAAATATATTTTTTTGTACTTTATATGGCGTGTGGGGGATGATTTTCATAAAAAAATTTCAAATTTTAGAAGAAAAAATTCATTTTATTTTATTTCGTTTAATTTTCTTATGTTATTACTGCTGCTCCGTAAACCTTAAAAGGCGGTCGGAACATTTAAGGCTTCGCCCTGATGCGAGCAGTCTTGTTTATTATTGCATGCAAAATAATGATGCCTAAACATCGTATTTAACAAAACACAAATCATTAACTCCTCAACGCTTTTCTACCGCCAGAAGCGAGAAAAATCATCTGCATTAGCAGAAAAAAAGCAATTTAGTATCAAATAAAAATCACACGCACACGTATTCTAAAGTCATCTACATTTTTACATAAACCCAGCCCCATTGTTGCTTCAATTTCATAAATTAGCGATACACTTCACATTTATTTTCTAAAATTCTCATTCATCATCGAAAGTACGCGATTGCACGGCTTTCATAATAATTATGCCTACTATTGTAAAAAATTTTGCTTTGCCCGTTTTCCAGTCCTGCGTAAACGGATACAGCCCATTGAATTCTCGCTACTAAATATATTTGTTGGTTTAAATATAATATTATGCCTTAATATCTTATCGAAGACTCTAATCATTTTTCTACAAAAAGCGCTAAAAACACAGAATATTTATCACCAAACTTGTCGTGGTATCATTAAAACAAACAAAGCTGCTCGTATCAGGGCGAAACCCTAAATGATGCGACTGCCTTTTCAGGCCTATGGAGCAGTATTAGCATGAAAAAATTAAATTTGAATGATATTGAAAAATTATGCCAAAAAGACTTGTTAAAAAGTCGAAAAAAAAAACCACCCCGAGCGAATAGTCCGTTACTTTCGTTATGAAAGCTGCAACAAAAATAATCAAATAACTCGCCTTTCTATTTCATGAATCACCCTAAATCACTGAAATTTTCTCAGGTGACATCTTGAAATAACAAAACAATTACTCATCTTATTCATTAAGTCTAGATTTTTATCGTTAATTTCACGGTACAAAATTTTTGCTCGTCAATTAGTATTGAAAAGAAGAAAATCAAAATCAATTTGGACAAAAACATACAAATAGATATTTCAAACGTGAATAAAGGTTCAGTTTTAAAAAACTTGTTTTAAAACAGCAAGAAAGGTTTTTTAAAAAGCTAATTGAAACCACCGCAAGCTTCCTATTGCCGTAAAACAATGACTTGAAAAATAGGACCTCGTGTGTTCTTACACTCCATATTTATTTCCAAAACAACAACAAGACTGCTCGTATCAGGGCGAAACCCTGAATGTTTCGACTGCCTTTTAAGTTTTATGGAGCAGTAATAACACGAAAAAAACTAAATGTAATATAAAGAGAAAAAAAAAATTTTTCTAAAATTTGAAATTTTTTAATGAAATTCATCCCCCAACACGCCATATAAGGTACAAAAGGATAATTTTTGCTCCTTGTAACAAATCAATTATGGCAAATAAGCTTCTTTCAACCAACTTGCAAAAATTTCTAAGACGGATTAACTCTCCGCTTACGCGTTAATAGCACAAAATAGACCGCGCGTTAATTGTCCCAAATTGGCCAAAATGGCAATCTTCAAACCCCCGTAACTTTAGAAAAAATGATCACAGGTGAAATATCTTTTCAAATTTGAGCTCAAGACAATAATTCCTTTTGGATGATATAAAAAAAAACAATTTCGTCAAAAATGGCTAGTTAAAAAGTCGAAATTTGTCTGTTGAAAAAAACCCATCCCGAGCACAAATATTCCGTTACTTTCGTATCGAAAGTCGGAACAACAAGACTGCTGGTATCAGGGCAAAGCCCTGAATGTACCGACTGCCTTGTAAGGTCTATGGAGCGCCAAAAACATGAAAAATTCAAATGTAATAAAATAAAATTGAAACTTAGAAAAAAGTTTGAAATTTTTTTGTGAAAAAATCCAACCACACGCCATAATATGTACAAAGTGATAGATTTTGCTCCTATTAACAATTCATTGAAGGCAAATAACTTTCTTTCAACTAGATTGGTATGATTTCTAATCGCGCGTTAATTGTCCCAAATTGGCCAAAATGGCAATCTTTACACCCCCATAATTTTACGAAAAATGATCCTAGGTGAACTATCTTTTCAAATTTAAGCTTAGGACAAAAATATTTTTTGAATGATTGAAAAAAAATCCGTCGAAAATGGCTAGTTAAAAAGTCGAAATTTGTCTGAAGAGAAAAAAAACCACCCCGAGCACAAATATTCCGTTAATTTCGTATCGAAAGTCGGAACAATAATAAAACATCATCTAATTAGTGAGAGATGACTGGCTCAAAAGAGTCACCGGTTGCAGTCTCCAGCGAAAATTATCTGGGAAGTTTTGAGTTAAGTAGAGTTCTGGCTTTTTACGAGCAAACCAGAAAATTAGATTTTTTGTTTACCTTGTTCAAAAGTTAATACCATTTAGCAAAATGACCATGAAAATTACTCAAGTGTCTTGTGAATAAGCTTTGCCTGTTGAGTTTAATCCACAGCCAGCTTACCTTAGAGTATTAGACCACCAAAAAAATGACCCATTTTGAGTCATTAGGCAAGTATATAGATAGTCAACAATTGCTCGTGAAAAATTGATGAAAACGGCTTGTGAAAACTGACAAAGAAAAGAATATTGGAGTAGTATTAAGACAATAGTTTTTATGATAAATTTGAAAATGATAATGCTTTGTAGAAAATCAGATTAGTTATTTCTAAATCCAGTGATAAGTATTACAAATTATTTACACGATGACACTTGTATTTGATCAACCGCAACTTAGTCTCAGTTTTTTTGCTGATAAAATGTGATAATATGAGTTGAACTTGAAAGTATTGAAAATAACATTAGTGGAGTGGAAAGACTTCAATTCAGTTCGCTTTCGAGGCTTACATGATGAGACACGACATGAGCAACTTCTCTATGACGCTTGTCGGAACACCCGATTTGTCTTCTTGGCAAGTCCCGACTATGGTCTTGATCTTGCTAGCTATGGCCAGGAAATCCGGGAAAGAAGTGTTGTTCTCTTCGTCCCCATATCTATCTACAGCCACCGCTAGGATTTTTCTCGGAATCCTTATATGGAGCTTCTGCAGCGCGGCGTCTAGTTGCAACGGAGTCGCGATGCCATCAATCGAATTTTTCTTGAAAACTTCACTACACACGACGAAGTATCGGTACAAAACCATGAACTCATGGAAATCTAGCTTCCCGCTGTTGTCTTTGTCAAAGAGCGACATCAGCGCATAGGCGTGAGACAACGTCGGCTTTTCTTCGCTGACATCAGATGTGATGAATTCCAGAAGTGTCAGGAGCTCAGTGACACAGATAAATCTATCTTCTCCTGCAAGATTATCGAAAGTCGGCCTCAACTTCTTTGTCATTTCGGGATCCTCGCTCTCGTAGTCTGTGTAGCTCTCAACATTGTCATCATCTTCGATTTCGTTCTTCAGCTCATGCGCTTGATTCGCCGACGTCTCAGTAAGCAGACGCAAGAAGAAGTCGCCTTGCTCTAGGGGCTTGTAAGTACTGGGAACTATGACGTACTCGCCAGGAGGAAGAGTGAACCTCTGGACCACTTCTCGCGAGTTCACAAAGCTAGCCGAGCGACCACATGACTTGTGGTACAAAAAGTATTCCTTCGTTAGTCGGTTCCCAGACTCCAGGTACTTCGCGGCGTCGTCGGCGATCGGATATATCATGAATCCCATTGTTAGAGCCGACGTTGAAAACCCACGAGAGTTCTTTTGCATCAGCGACACGATCAGTGTGCACACGTCGTCATCATCATCGTCCGTATCCGTTAAAACTACCCGGAATTGAGGATTTGTCCCGAAAGTTTCGGGGAAGTTTCGGCACCCTCCAGCGGTAATATTTTTCACCCAGCTCCCTTCGTTCTCTGACACGTTGAAATGCGTGTTCGACTCCGCATCATAAGAGGCTTTATGACAAATCGTGATTCGGCTGAACTGTTTCACGAAGTCTTCAAACGCCATCCAGAACTCTCCATCATGGTCATAGGTCACTCCCAGTTTTTTCTTTGTGGAGGCGGGTACATTGTTCCACTCCTCTGAGCCGTCAGACCAGGATCCGTTCCATTCTCTCTCATTTCCCCAGGGGTTGCGAACCCTGATTAAATCAGTTCCGCTCACAGTTGCTACTCCAGTGACACTGTACGCGTGGCCTTTAACTAAACCATTGTCCATCTTTTCTTCAATTACTCCAGTGGCGTCCACAGAACAACCCATGAGATAGTTTCTGTCGTGGGCTTTTTGGACTCTCTTATAGAGATCTGGCGGCGCCTTATCCAGCTTAATATCTTCAGCAATACCTCCTGTGAAGTCAACGAGCGCCTCGCCTATTTGTCCACCTTTCAATGATTCGTAAGACTTGAACAGCTTAGCGTAGGCCTTCTCGAGGAGTGCCGACCACATTTCTCCTGTTTCGGCCGAGTGCACGAAGAGCAGCTTGCCCCTCAGAGATGGCAGTCGGTCGTCAATGATGACTTCAGTCCACTCTCCGAACTGCCAGAAGCAGAATCGGAAGGCGCCGCAGTACTGGCCTTTCTCAAATCCCTGGTCGGGTGGTACCACCATGTTCAGATGTTCCTTGTCAGCCGTCAGACTGGCGATTGACGCAAGCAGCCAACAGTCACCTGAAACATAGAATTATTGTACATTTTTTCAGCCTTGAATACCGATACTTATTGAAACTCAGTAAAAAAAAGTTAAGGCAACTAAAAAGAAAAAGACATTCATAAAAATCGCTTTCAACAACAGTAATTCGTCTGCCTTTGAGATGAGTACTATTTGAGCTTTGCTTTACAGCTTCAAATTTCTTAAGCAAAAATTAATGCGAGACTGAAAAAAAATGGAAAAATCCAGTCGAAACGAGATCGAGAAAGGATTAATGCTATATTTTTTGATATTTTCAACTCGACTGAAATCTCTCATAAAAGAAGTTACTAGTTTCTGCTCATTTCTAGTTTCTCGTTCAGGACGGAAACCTTAGTAAATGTTTAGATCGGACTAGGAGAATCAAGGAGTCAAAAATAATTAATTTGAAAATATTGTCGTGTTTTTTTTGGAAACTTTCGTAGTCCACTTTTTAAAGCGAACATCTCGAAGATTTTTTTGACACTAAATTAGTTTTTATAAGTGCTCATACATCGATATGAACTCCTCATTGACCTGATCAAACTGATTAAATTCTGAGTAAACTGACCGAGCATGCCCTGACAGATGTCGAGCTGGCTGGCCTCGTCCACGAACATGGCGGGATGCTCGAACAGCTCAGTGGGTCTGAGCCACTCGATGTTGTGCTTGTCGTACTTCTGGGGGTTGCCGGGGTCGATGGACGCGGATATTGCGGGGAACTCATTGTCCTCGAACAGAGTGCGAGTCTTCAGGTGCTTCTGCTTGATCTGCTTAAATCTGAACAGACGATTCGTTTCAATTTTTGCTTTTAAGAAAATTTTCAGAAAACGTTTTCTGTAGTGGTCTTGTTTCCAGGTAAAAAGTTGACAAATACCATATTGTTTTTTGAATTATTATTTTCAAATTGACAACTTCTGTAAAAAAATCGGAAACAAAACATCCGTTAGCTGCAATAGTTGGCCAAAAGGTCCCGATCATTATCTTCTTTTGAAAAAAAAACAGCATTTATCTTTTAATTAATTTTTGTCTGTTTATTACAAAGAGTAGAGGTTGATATTTCATGTCCTCATTTCCAGAAACAATTATCATATGTTTGGATATTTGCCGACTCTTATGCTCGGAATTATTAGTCGGAAACTAAAACTGGGAAAAATTCTCGGAACTTTTTTTTGTTGTTCGAAGCCCACCTATAAGATTTTTGCTTATGCTTTTTTACTCAATTGAATATAATTTGTTGCAATTTTTTCTTTCTCAATTTTGTCTTCATTTTTTGTTAATTTGGTTTTAGTTGGTGACTAAAAAAGGCAGAATGAGGGGTAATAATAGCTTAGAAACCGTTTAAACTGTAGAATAACTAAACTGTGGAAGGTCAGCCTCTAATCAAAATTCGTCTAATTCAGTCCTTAGCTAAAAAAACTTTATAATTTCAAATGTAAAAAGTAAATTACGACATCATATATTTATTTTTGTGGATAATTTACAAAGGAATTTCATAGTGTCAATTAAAGTTTTGCGTCAATAAGTCTAAATATAGTCTAAATATATGAACGCAAGTAAACATTATAAAAATCGCTGACTTTGTTGAAAAGATCTCAATTTTTGAATTTCAAAAAAAAAAAGATGCCCTTCAAGCTTTTTGAATATCTAGAACGAGTTATGATTGGCGTTTTTTTATAACAATTAACCCAATTTGAGAAAACTGGATAACAGGTAAAATTTATATTCGGCAGAAAATCTAAAAACTAAATTCTACTTTCGAAACTAGAAATCGTATACGTTCGCATTTGGAGAGTGCTATTTACATCACCATCAGCAATGTAGTTTTAATAGAGTTCCACGCATAACTCCCTACCAATTTTAATTTGAAGCAGTTTGGGGAATTTTAATTTGGGGAAAACACAAGTTATTGCATAGTTTTACACTAATTTTTTAGGGGGATGGTCGGTGCAAAAATGCTTTTGTTACACAATATACGTAAAAAACTAGTCACCAAATTTTCCAACCATTTTTGAAAAGTATGAGAAGAAGTTAAAAATGTATGAATTTTGTTTGATTATCTTTTTGAGTCAATTCACGCATAGCAAACTTTTTTAAAAAACGACGACATACTCAAGAGTGTTAGATAGTGATCACACGCAAGTTTGCCTTTTTTGTACGTTTTTTATCCATGTAATTCATCTTTAAAAACGTTAGCAAAAAGCTGTGCTTGGATCACTTTGTCTGACTTGGTCTAGTTTTATGTTATTCTGGGAGAAGTCGATAAAAAAAACAAAAACTGACACACAAACAAAAAAATTTTTGTCACAAATAATCTGTGCAGGGCGAATCTAGAACTTTCTCGAGAGGTGGCGGATTTTCAAAAAAAAATCGAAAATTTTGTCGACCTTTTTTTAAGCTGTCCAAATAGATTTTCCGCGCTTTCCCAGAGCATTGAAAAGACCCTTTTCTGGTCAAAATTTCTGCGCCGCAGGCAAAATTTTGAAAAAACAGGCCAAAAATGACACTTTTAGGCATTTTGGAAAATTTTGATAAAAACAGCACTTTTTCGGCGCGCGCTCTACCTTGAAAATTAGTATTTAAAAAATTTTTTAGGGACTGTCACCAAATATGGATATCTCAAAATTTCAAAATAGAACAAAGGGGGGACCCTGAGTGAGAAGAAAAGGGGGGACAAAGGGGGGACCCAAAGTCGAATCCCTGAGGACAAAGGGGGGACCCAAAGTCGAATCCTTGAGGGGAAGAAAAGTGTCCCCCCCCCCCGACCCCCCTAAATCCGCCCCTGAATCTGAGTATTGATAAGACGAAAAGAGCAATTTTTTTATCCTGATAGCTGACACCAAATCATGATTTCCAACAACATCTAAGAGATCAAGTGTTTGATATCAAGTGTTAGAAGTAAAGAAAGATTAACAGAGTTTCTACCTAAATACTGAACTAAAAACAGAGTTAGTCTGATTTTTACAAATTATTGCTCATAACTACGCCCAACTTGGGAGGTTTGTTGTATGTGGTCCTATCAACATAATCGCCGGGCCTTTTTTCAGCGCGTTTGCGCAAAATTTTTCAAAAATAGTCTACACCCCAAAAAAAAAGTATATCAGTGACAATTCAATCAAGACGAATTGTAAAATATAGGCTTTTAACTGAACCCAGAAAAACTAAGCATTCAGCATTTTATGTAAGACTCAGTTTTTTTGTGAACAGTTTCATCGTAAACATGTAATGCATTTTTTTGCGGAGTTTGATGTTGGCAAAGCTCAATTTTGTACCTAAGCTAAAAGCGGTCCAACAAAAACTGCAATCTCCAAGTTAAAGTATGTTCCGCAAATTTGATTTTGAGGGCCCTTGTTTGAAATAATTTCCAAATTTTAGGTCGGCATTAGATATAAAAGAACCCGCTTTAAAGTCGATCCAAATCGATTAACCATGTACATTTTACGAACTTAAATGGATTTAAAATCGATCCTAATCAATCTGAATTTTTCTTTTTGATTAACTTACTTTTTTACAACTTAAATCGATTTCAATTTAATCTGCATACTTTTTTCATACTAAAATCGATCGAAATCCATTTTTGTCAGTGCGAGAAAACCTTTCTAGAGTTTTGAAAATTATGTCAAATTGACATGATTCAGGTTGTTTTCAAGGTTTTAAAAAATTCCAATTAAGCTGATTGTTTCCCATGACATGGCTAAAAACTATGAACGAGACCCTTATAGTCAGAAAACTGTCGCGCCTACCTTTGTGAAGGCTCCATTTTTAGTAAAGTTCGAATCAATTTCACAAGAATAACAAATGTGAACGCTTGCTGATTTTTCGACTTCTAAATTGATATATGCACAAAGTTAAACTAAACTTGTTGTGTTGGTACTTGCTCTCACTTTTGCTCGTTTAATCTGGCATAGGTGATTTAGTTTTTGGCGAGTTTTGTTTTACCTTTTTCTGCTCAGTGTACGATGTCAATTAATTGCTCGTCGTAATTACATTGTACACCTCTGATGCAAAAGCGTATGAGAATGCGCTTACCTTTAGTTTGATAGAAAAAAAAACGAAATGGTCGAGTAAAAGACAAATTAATCAAAAGCGCATGTATATAAAATAGTACTAACCTTTTTGATTCTGATAGATCTGGCTTGCTCATAACCATAATGCTTTGCGATTAAATTTAGAAGTCAAAATTAGAGGTCCGTCAGCTAAAGTCACACCAAAATTTTTGTTATAAAGAGACCCAGTAACGTACTAAAACTATTGTTAAACTTTTTATAAACTAAAAAATATATATAATTTTTTCGAGTGTTTTATATATAGCTACTACAAAACCAGAAACGATCAATTTTTCAGGCTTGAGTGAAAAAACAGTTGTTATTGTTTGTTGTCAACTGACGGCTTATGCTCATTGTATGGCAGTTTCTGACCGCTTTTTTATTTCGCAGTAAAAATTGCGCGGCATTACAATGGCTCGATAGCATTTATCACACAAATGTTACAAAAAATTGAACTTGAGTTTTGAATAAACGGATGAATGATTAAGTTATAGTGATCCACAAATAGAAGATGGAATATGCCTGAAGATGGAAAAAAATACAATCTGAAACTAACATACGGTCACATTCAGCAAAGCTAAAGCAAATTGATTTTTTTTTTCAGGGACTTAGTTGCCAAATTAACATGAGCTAATATTTAGTAACGTACCATGATGTATAAGCCATTCTGTTTGCTTTTTTTACTATACTGTTGCGCATACTTTGCGCCACGACGAAGTAAGCTTCGCAAAGTTTTACTTAAAAACTAATATTACCGATGAACAGAAATATAGTTAACAAACTAGGGCTACAATAATGACCCAAAAAACAGTTGCAAAAGAAAAATATAGAATGCATGAGCAAGTTTAGGGAGCGTCTCTTTTCTTCGCAGGAATTCAGCAACCTCATCACCCAAAGGGTCCCTCCTTGGGTGCTATTTTCAGATATCTTTTTTGACCGACCAGGTCAAAAACGAAAACCATCTTCTATAATTGAAAACCATCTCTAAAAGGTGCAGAAAAAAAGGCTAATCACTTTGATAAAAAGTTTACTGCCCAAATTTATTGCTCAGATTTATTGCCCAAGTTGAGTTAGCTTGAAAACTGCTCGAGTTTTTTTTGAAAATGTCCCTCTTGAAAAATCTGAATGGCATCCTGCAGCCATCTAAGTTCTTATTGAGAAAACTAATCGGTTTCAGTTGATTTCATAGATAAATTTTGCTGAATCATTAAGACATCAATGATTCAGTATTGCTACGAAGATTACAGCTGATTTGGAAAATAGTCAGAAAAAGCTACAGTACAATTTTTATTCAGCGATGAATTATCGATGGTGATTAACGATATCGCAATGAATTAGTGATTAATTGTCAAGTTTTTGTGGGTTCAATCCCCGTTACACTTTTTGTTTGTTTCGCACTATGCTGAAAAGCCCAATCAGCAGCGCTAAATCATCAGTAAATTATCAATGAAAATGGTTAAGGTGGCAGTTTTCAATCGATTAAATATCGATGTACTTCTGAAATATTTTTTCAATGATTCAGTAGGAGTAAGTCGAAAAAGATTTTAAAATTTCTTTTATTCTAGTCAAATCCAACCGATACTTTTTACTTCAACTGCCGAGAAAAAAACGTTGATTAATGCTCAACAGTACGGCTCAACAGTTTAAAATTTTTTCGACCGCATAATAGTAGAAAAACCTGAAAAATTGAAAAATAAAAAGAAAAAAACTAGAATCTACAATTGGTTATAAATATAATTCTCTAATTCTATAAAATATTCCTAACTAACCAATCATATTCCATACCTAACACTTACACTTAGTTGTAAGTTCTGAAACTACTTGTAGTTCCAGCACCAGAGCAATTTGAATTAAACTTAGAATTTTGTTGTTCTCCTTCTGGAAACTAACTCGCATAAACCAGTATACACTAGATCTATTGAGACTAGGAGATATAAGAGTACGATTAAAATCGGTATTAGAGAAGAAGTTGCACGAATCTATCCGGCTGAAAATAAGATAGCGTGACGAGCAGACGGTGTACTTTATCTGAAATTACTCTATGAGTACAGTCAAAAGTACATAACTCAAAAACTACCACGAGCACAAAAATTAAGTCAATATATTCAAAAGTCGCAATAACAATTTATAAATCGCTTTTGAGCTGAAACTTCAGCTGCAGAAAAACTCCAGAAGACACGCGCGATACTTCTCAAATCTTCATCTAACAAACTTTTTCGTCTTTTTTAGAAAGTCGGACCAGAAAACCGCGTATCTACAGGCCGTCAAATCTACAACCCCCGAAGCCTAAAGTTGGAGATCAAAATCACGCGGTATTTTTTCTAAAATAATCAACTTGGTAGATAATAGTTTTGTAGTTTAATTTCTTTTTGTATTGCAATAACTCGATGAAAACAATTCACAGAAAACTAATAACTGAAATTAACATGATTAGTTAGATGACTTAAAAAGTTTAAAACTTTTTTTTCCAATTTTTTAAATTTTAGTTTTCATGGGATTATTGATTAATTGACCTCAATTGATATGGACACGATTCGCTGTTTTTGAACTTCAGCTTGTTGCAAGAATAAGCATACCTTCAAATTTTTGACCATTTAGCACCAAAGTCTTACGATTTTACAGAGCCTGTTACGGTTTGTTAAGATTGCTCTCGGGAACATTCTTGGATGATAATTATTTGCTCATACGCAGCTGTCTAAAAACCTGCACATATCAATCTCTTTTTTTCTAAACTTAAAAATTTAGAGATATTAAAAAAAATTTAAATTTAAAAAACAATTCCTGAAAACGAATAAGACACGCTAACAACCGGTTGACAACCACCCTGAAAACCAAAGTCAAAGTCACTAAAGACGGGCTACTCATTCTCAGATAAGATTGCACTATCTCCCCGTAACTTTACTATGGACAAAAATGAGTAACTCCAGAGGAATTTTGAATGCGTATAAACTTGAAAAACAAAAACTCTATTTAGATTTTCGATATATTAGAAAGTGAGCCTCTGGTAGTCAGATTTGACTTTTGAAAGGCTAGAAACAAGTTAAATTGGTGCAAGTTATTGCAAATTGAGCAAACACCTTTTTAGTCTGAAATATTGAACGATTCTCATCAATTAGATTATTCTAGTCATCCAAAAAAAAACAAGAATTGATCTTTGCACAAACAATCCGAAGCTTCAATTACTCAGCTCCAAGAAAAAAACAACCAATCTGATATCATTTCCAGATTTTGCTCTTGAGACACTACAAGTTTAGAAATAAGTGAGAAGTAAAGATTTTTTAATACAACAGAGAAGAAGATAGCTTTATCCCTAGGCACTAGGCTAGGCCCAGGCAATGATTAAGCCCCATATGGAAAAATACAGAGAAATTTTTTGGTTAAGTTTCAATAGGTCCAGCTGTTTAATGGTAGTAGAGACGGACATCAGATTTAGTTTGGAACGAAATCAGAGACGAGTTGATTAGCTGGTTCACTAGTGATAAAAATAAACATAGAAGATGAGTAACAATTAAAAAACTTTTTGAAGAAAATATTTAAAAAAAACTCCTTAGATCAAAAAGGACAGATGGTAATAGACCAGATCCAACCTTTAATGAGAAACAGAAAAAAAACACCTGAATTTTTGTATGATATTTGCGCAAACAAGTTTTATAAAAAAACAACATGAATTTTAAATCTGAATTGAATATCCAGCTGCAACTTCTCATTAAAAAATTTAAAAGCCACCAAAAACCATAGCAAAAAGTAATAAATTCTGGAGAACGCCATCTAGTAGCGCAGATTAAAAAAGCATAAAAAGGAAAAATCGTCAACTTGAAAAAATAACAGGATAATTGAAAGCTCAGAAAAAAACATTCAACCTAAAACGCATATAAGCCTACAAACAAGCAAAACAACCCCAGACATTTTTAATTGTTTCGTAGATCAGATACTTTTGTGATTGTTTGTTCTTAATTCAGAAACAATCAGAAATAGAATCCAAAATTACTTCAGTAACGAGAGTTTTTTTCATGATAGCAATCCTACGCTACAAAATAGTGACAATAGGATCCATGAGTACTTCAGCGATGACGAAAAAGAATAATCAATCAAAACTAGAACAATTTCCGCACGATAAAAAATAACAAATGTATATTAACCTATATCAACCTCTCGTCGAAGACAAAAATAAAAAATACTGGCATAGAAACCAAAACTTACTAAACACTTACGCAACATGATCTCCTATGCAGTTTTGTACTTACCAACAATCATGCTACAAACCTTAGAACTTCATAAATCCGAATCAAATACAGTACCGTACCATTCAACGATGAAAAAACCTGAAATTATAAAATATACAAATTTTAAAGCAAAATTTGAAGCTAAAAACACCAGCCAAAAAGTCAAAGCTTGAGCCTTCGTTTGGAGGGGACTCAGTAATTTCTTTAGCATTTTTTTTTCTGAAACATCCAAGTTCATTACTTTTCTACACCTAAATGAGAATTTCAAGAGTACATAGCTAAATTTGACAAAACATTAAAACAAAAACAAACATATATCAATGTATCGTATTGTTTTGGCGAAGAAAAACCAATTCTTGTTATATTCAACAATTTAACCGGATTAAAAGTGTTCATACCCAAAGAAGCAAAAACTCTAATCAGAAAAGATTGAAATTTTAGTTCAAACCCCAGGCAAGCTAATCAGTTGTATTAATTAAGGGGCAGTCGAAGCATACAGGATTTTGCCTTGACCGTGGTGTACAAGCAGTCCTACAAGTAATGGAATCAAAACTTCAATTCGCAGATGTTTCAGAACACAATTTTCAGTTAAACACAGAGTGCATTGCCTCAGATTTTCAGTTTTGGTCCAAATATTTTTCAAAAGTTTTTTCTACCCTGCGCGATAA